GCATTCTCTGTGTGTTCTATATATATGTATGTATGCTGTATGTGCTGTGAGAGGTCTGTGTATGTGTTGTGTGGTGTGTGCCTTCTCTGTGTATGTGTTGTATTCGTGTGATAGTTATGTCTGTATACTGTGTTGCATTGCAGGTGTTTGTATTGTGTGGGTGCATGCTGCGGAGGTAATGTGGACACACACACATGTCTGCCTGTAGGATAAGCAGAAGCAGAAGCTATAACCCTGAGACTCAGGGTCAGGCAGACAGAGGATGCAGGGAGGTGGGAGGTACCATGCATCTACCAGGTAGACCTAGAGAACCCAGGAAGTAGATTGAGGTAAACCACAGTGTCCTAGGGGACTGACACTCCTGTCCAGGAGACAGCCATTAGGCCAGGCTATATAATGCCTGAAAAGCAGACAGCAGAGATCAGCCTAAAATTAGCTGAACTGAGCCTGGCCAGACAAAGACGGAAGTCTGGAGAAGGGAGATGTGGAGTCAGACTCACGCCGTTTGCTTCCCGCAGAGGATGAGACTAGAATACAATTACATGCAACATCATATATCTTATCTGGTCCTCCCTGCATCTGAGCTGTAATTTCCCCCTGAAGCCTCCTGTGCCTTATAGCCTGGTGTTTCAATTTATCTTCAAGTAACTATTTACATTTGCATTCACTCATCTCTAAACAGTTCTGTTTCCTCCACATCTCAGGCCCTTTGTCCCTCAAATGACAGCCACACACACAAAGGAGATGCCTGACTATATTTATGGGCCCCGGCATTCTAATTTCTCCATTAGGACCAGGGCAGGGGCGGTTGTCTCTCTTAAATAAATATCTAGCTGGTGATTGTCTCAGGGAGTGGTGTTCTTTTCCTATCTCACCTCAGACAGAGGACCTCAGTGGTCCCCTAGCCTGGAGGCACACATGGAACGCTAGAACCTCAGGAGAGAAGGAGGACAGACAGTAGGTACCATGCAGACCCCAGGATGACCCTACAGAGAAGTAGGCTACTTGTCATATGGGTTTGTGTCCCTGCAGAAGGTCTGAAAATTCCTCTGTGGAGATGGCCGAAATAACCAATAGACCAGGGGTCCTTGGAGGGTTCTTGGACTCTGCCTACTTAAGGGAAAGATGCCAGAGCTCTGAATTCATGAGTCAGGACATCTGATGCCCTGGGCAGATGCTGGTACCCAGGTACTTGCTAACCTGGTGTTGTCATCTGGTGCCAAGGCTCTGACTGCCCTGTGTTATTTTTTTCCTTTGAATCTTGGCTCTACCGTTTATAATGATGTAGTCTGAGGCTAGATATGTGGCTTTTCTGAGCGTCTGATTTCTCCTCTGTCACTCAGAGGCAGTGTATTTTTTTCTTGTTGCTGTTGTTTTGTTTGTTTGTGTTTTTTGTTTTGCTTTTTTGGTGGGGGGGTTGCTTTTGTTTTTGTTTTTTTTTGGTTTTTCAAGACAAGGTTTCTCTATATAGCTTTGAGCCTTTCCAGGAACTCACTCTGTAGCCCAGGCTGGCCTTGAACTCTCAGAGATCTGCCTGGCTCTGCCTCCCGAGTGCTGAGATCAAAGACATGCACCACCACCGCCAGGCTCTCAGAGGCATTGTTGTAACAGGATAAGCGGGGTCATGCTACTGTGAAAATCCCTGTTTGGAGCATGCTAAGTGGGGCGTAGTGATTCTGTGGTTACAAGCTCATTTAACTATGCAGTTCAAAAAGGTGGAGATGAGCACTTCTGATTTTATAAATGACAAACTGAAGAGGAGTTATTAAGAGGCTTGCACACTATCATGTAAGTGAGGTGGTGGTGAGCAGGAGGCTGCTTCTTCCTTGGGATTACCACTTCACACTCATCCAGTGTCACACAACAACAATCGAGGGACCCGGAAGGAATTGTCCTAGGCCTGAGGCGAGCTGCCTAGCCACACATCTCTTGGAACCTAGACTACACACATGGGATGAAAGCCACGGACGGTCTCTGACAGCTCAGATATAGACACATGCACACTTTGAGTCTGGATCCCATCTGAATCCTTGTCTGGATCCCCATCTGGATCCCTGTCTGGATTCCCATCTGGATCCCTGTCTGGATTCCCATCTGGATCCCTGTCTGGATCCCCATCTGGATCCCTGTCTGGAACCCCTTCTGAATCCCTGTCTGTATCCCACCTGGATCCCCGTCTGTATCCCCATCTGTATCCCCATCTGAATCCCCGTCTCTATATCCATCTCTGTTTTTGTCTTTTTTCTTCCAGTATACCATTTTTTTTTTGTTTTGTTTTCCGAGACAGGGTTTCTCTGTGTAGCTTTGCGCCTTTCCTGGAACTCACTTGGTAGCCCAGGCTGGCCTCGAACTCACAGAGATCCG